ATCCCGTGTGTGTGTGTGTGTGTGTGTGTGTGTGTGTGTGTGTGTGTGTGTGTATTCATCCTGTAAGTTCTGTTTCTCTAGAGAACACTGACTAATACAGATTTTGGTATCAGAATTGACTCTAATGTAAAAGACGCATAAGGATGAATTTTTTTAAGTATCTGGAATAGGCTTTCTAACAGCCAACACCTACAGTCACTGAAGCCTCTCCTGAAGGCTCAGAGAGTCCTGAAAGATCACTGTTTTATAAACTTAAGGAGATGAAAGGATTTCATTATTCTGAGTCACTAATTGTGAGAGGCAATGAATTCGGTGACTCTGAATATAAAACTTTTGAGAATTTGTGGAAAAATAAGGAAAGTGGTGATCCTGGCTGGTTGTTCCCAGCATCCCTAGATGAACTGAAGAGGGAATGAGCTCTGTGATAAAAATTAACCAACTTCTAGCATCGCAGAATATGGTGAGGTTCAACAATAAAATCAGTGATAAAAATGATCGGCTTTAGATGTGCACAGTCTACGGGGTTCTGAGTGCTCCCCAGAAGAGAACCTTCTTTCCCGCACCTACGGAGCTCAAGCTGAAGGAGAGCAAACCTCATCATAAGGTTGGCTGAATTACAACAAAAATTCAAGTCCAAACCTCGGCTAGTGTTGGCATTAACTGGTAAAAAATGGGATCCTAAGCCGGGTGTGGTGGTGCACACCTGTAATCCCAGCACTCAGGAGGCAGAGGCAGGCGGATCTCTGTGAGTTCGAGGCCAGCCTGGTCTATAAAGCCAGTCCAGGACAGCCAGGGCTACACAGAGAAACCCTGTCTCCAAAAACAAAAAACCTAAACACACAAACAAAAACTGGATCCTGTAACTTGGAATGGGTGTGTGTGAAAGGGCCAAACTGAAGCTGAGAACTCCAAACCCTCAGATTCTCGAGGGCCACTCACTGCAGAAGCTGCACTTACAGACAATCCCCTGAAGTATTATTGCCTTTTCCACCTGTGAGGAAATTAACCCTTCACTGTCTGATAAACCTGCAGTGCCTTTCTCTGAAGGAGAGACCCACCAACAGCTGTCTCTAGACCCATACCTAGACTTAAGGCTAGCAGGCTCCTGGAGGGGAGGCTGAAGGTGGAGCCCACGACGAGGTGAGACAGACTACTAAGGAGCTTAATGAGCTACTTCATTCAAGCAGGGGTCCGGGAAGTGTGTGTGGGAATGGCTGTAAAGGGTGTGGGATAATGGTGGAAGGAACACAGAATGGTGTCAGGCTGAGTTCACTGATATGGGACCAGTGAGTGGAGCTTCTAGGTTTAATATGGAAGCTCACAGTTTTGAACGATGACCTCTGCACAAAATCACAAGTGCTAATGGCACCTGGTAGGAGGGGAAATGACTCAGCCTCCAGAAGATGGCACCTTCAAACACTGTGAAGAGGCTGCAAGAAGCCAATGTGCAGCTTTAGTTTTTCTTGCGACTTTTCAGCAAGCTGTGGGGAGGGGATGAGGAGCCACGCTGGTCAGAAGGGATGTTAGAATATTCCTAGATTTGCAGATGACTCAGCCAATGTCCTTTTCGGCATTATGAGATCTCAAGAAAAGGCCCTTTATGCAATGAGGGCGGTGGACCCACAGCTCAGGCAGCGTCAAAGGCTCCTGCACTCTTGTTCTTGATGGAGACACCACCTGGCAAACCATGTTGCTGAGAGAAACAAAATCAGCCTGAGACCTGACACCAGCAGATGTGAAAGGATTCTCAGAAGCACTCTCCTGCAGTCAAGAGTGGCTCTGTCACCTACCTCACTCTCACCCTCACAGAGCAGTGGGATGGCAGGCATCAGCAACCAAACACCTAGCCCAGCAAGTAGTCCAAGATGGTCTCTGTCACTGGCCCTAAGATTTGGTTAGCTGGACAGCCAGCCAGTCCCGACAGGTGCTGGTGAGATGGCGCACACATGGGGGCCATGAACACATACGTGCCATGTTCCCAGCAGAACCCAGGTGTGCATCAGCACGTGGCGGGTGCACAAGGCTGTGCAGGAATACTGGCACAGCTACTTAGAGGCACACCCTGCAATGGGACACTGGGGGGAAAAGCCCAGCACAAAGCCAATGTGTACTGTATAGTACCATTTAGATGAAATGTGCAGCATGGGCCAATCAGAGAGAGAAAAAAAATGGTGAGCAGCTGTCAGGACTGTTGGGGTTGGTGAATGTTCTAAATGGTGCTAAAGGTTATGAGACTGAGCAAATAGAAATCAATGTGTTCTACAGTTTTTGAAAAAAACAAAAAAAACAACTGAGATGGGGCTGGAGCCATAGCTCGGTGACTTACAGGTTAAGAGCACTGACCGCTCTTTCAGAGCACCTACGTGGGGCTATCAACTGTCTGTGACTGCGGCCCCCAGGGCATCCAACACCACTCCTGGCCTCCACGGACAATGCATGCATGATGCAGACACACATGTGGGCAGAACATCCACCGGCAAAAACCAAAAACTCTAAAATCTTTAACATAAGGTTTCAGTGTGTGACCTATTCTAGGCCTTGAACTCATTATTGTCCTACTTCAGCCTTCCGAATACCAGGAGTGCTGATTTACAGGCAGGAGCCACCAAGCCTTGCTTGGTGTCCACACTCTGAATGAGCAAACTGTGCAGCACTGAATTCCACCTCAAAGAAACCCACAGGGAAAGCAAAGCCACACTGGGAAAAAGGAAAAGTGTCCCAGGAAGAGCTGGGAAGAGCAGGTCTTCAAAGAAGATGCTTAAGTAGACAGAGAAAGTGCTCATTCCCCTCTAAGAATGCAGAGAAGTCTCAAGGACACCGCCCCTAAGGGGAGGAATGAAACAGTGGTGCAGCTCCTGGCCCAGTTTCCAGGGCACACTTCTCCCACAGAGAGTTCCTGCCTGTGCCCAGAGAGTCTGGTACTGGGCAGCTTCTCCACCAAATGAAGCAGCTGAGGGCATGAGTGTAGGATAGAGGCCCACCACTGTAGCTCCCCTTTCTGTGTTCTTGGATAGGCATACACTCAGACACCCTCCAGGTAGCGAGTCCCCTCCGGCAAAGTTGCCTTGTTAAGTCTCAAGATTGCCCTCATCCCAGGCCCAGCTCCTCTGTGGCCTTAAGATAGTTCCTTGAGCACTACATGGCCCCACTGGCGGGCCTCTTGCCTGTACCTGCAGCCTCAGAATCCTCCCCACATCCTCTCCCTCTCTTGTCCAGGTACCAGGGCAGCAATTCTGCAGCGTCCCACTCACAAGAAAACCTCAGGAAGGAAACTGCTTCTGGTCAGGAGGCTCAGAGACAGGAAGAATCAATGAATTTTCAAAAGGTGGTGCAAAAGCTTAAACCTCACACCAATGCAAATTAAAGGTAAAATGGAACAAGCAAAGAAAGTAGGAACACCTTTCCAAGGTGAAGGCTGTCCACACAAAAGCTTGCCGGAGCAGCAACGGGGACAGTTTTACAGGGAAGGTGTTTTTCAGTCCTGTGTAGCCAGGAGGACAATGTACTAAGACTGGGTGGGGTGAGAGGTGGGGGGAGCAGACACTGATGGGTGAATACCAGGAAGCTAACCTGGAGGCAAGGCTTTCAACGCTGACAAGCCTCACAGAACGCACGTAAGACACCTACTCATGCGTGCATACAAAAAAAAAAAAAAAAGGGTCCTGATCAAAGGCTTCCAACTAGAATGTCACAGCAGCAGTAGATTGAGTAGCAGCTGTGCCCTAACAATTCAGCAGAACTCTTCAGTGGAATCGAGTCTCAGGTTCGGCCTGACCCGGGGGCAGGGAAAGTGAAGGCAGTTCTGGATGGAGATATGCTCCCTGCCACCGCCCTGTATGGCAGGCAGGCCCACGCCCACCCAAGCAGTCGCGGTTCCCTCTGCCTTAGATCCTCCAAAATCAGCTGCCTCTGTTTGCAAAATGCCTCCCACCAATCTGGGTGCACCCTGTCCAGCCCCAAGCAGCGCAGAGCCCCACCTCCTCAGCAGGGAAGTCCCTCCTGCCCTTTCTCCATCTGCTAATCTCAAGAGCTGTACTGTGGGGAGGTCATGGAGCAGACGCTCTACTTTGGCTCCCTCCCAACCAGGCAGGAGTTGTGAAGGCCGTGAGCACCGGAGGCTCCCTCCCGCAAGGAGTCTCGTCCTCAAGTTTCTGTTCCTGAAACACGGAGGAGGAGGAGGAGCTAAATTGGGGGAGGTCCTGACTCAGCTGGGCACCTAAGAAGGTGTTTGGTGTCTGGGTCCCTTTAGGCCCTGCTGCCTGGAAGCTTCATGTTCAGAATAAGCCAAGTCCTTCAAAAGAAAACCTCAGGCTCCAAACCAGCCCTCTCCTAACTTTAGGGAACTCATTTCCTTGGCAGTCAAAACGAGCAGACATGGGGTGGACAGAGTGGGTTGCAAAAGCCACAAGTCATTTATTTACAACGGCCCGCCCGATCTCTACAAGCCCGAACCCCCACGCTTGGCGCAGCGGCCACGTCCGCCGCCCTCGAAGCAGCCGGCGGCCGTTGGCAACGCGCGGGGCCGGGGCGGGTGCAGGGCGTCCCTCGGCCCGGGTGCGGGGTGCGCGCGAGGCCGGCGGGTAGGGACAGGGCCTGCTTCCCCCTGTCCCCGTTCGGCCGCCGGCCACGACCCCGGCCCGGATCCCCCTCCCGCGGGCTCCCGGCGCGCGCTCTCACGTGTGGCCGCAGCTGCCGATGGCCACCGGCCGATGGTACACCTCCAGGCAGATGGGACAGCTGAACTGCGCCTCCAAGCCGCTGTCACCGCCCGCGGGCCCAGCCGGCGGCTGCCGTTGCTGCGCCGAGGCCACCAGGCTGCGGAACATCGCCATCCCCGGCCAGGCCGCCGCCGCCGCCGCCCCCTATCCAGGCCGGGAGGCGGGCGTCACCGCCGCGACGGCGCGGGGTGGCGTCACTGCCCGGCCCCCGGGTTACGTCACGACAGAGGCCGCTTTGCGTTACGTCATCTCGGCGCGCCACTTCTCCGCCTCTGCGGTCCAAACCAGCCCCTCCATGTGTCAGGCGGGTGAGGACTACGCGGAGCCGGCGCAACGGGACCCCCCGCCCGTGCCGCGGCCGAGGTAAGAGCCCTCTACGCCGGGCCGGCCAACAGTCACCTTCGGCCCTCGCAGCCGCAGACCGGAGTTCCACAGGGCCTCTTTGAGTCGGCAGCTAGATCTAAAGATAGGCCCTGGTGTGTGAGGCTTGCTCCTCCAGCTGAGGCTAGGAAGCGAGACGCTGGCTCCCCCAAGTACGCTGCTGGTGGGAGAATCTGCCCTTTATGTTCTTATTCTCTCCAAAGCCGGGAGCAGAAATGTGTGAAGTGCGCCGAAGGCCTGCCGGTGGTGGTGATCCGAGCGGGAGACGCCTTCTGCAGGTGAGATCTTGGCTGCCCCCCTTTCCGGGCTTGCTTTTTCCCTGTAAGGGCACGGTTTCTTTGTACGTGTTTGTCGCATTGGCCCTGACCCATAAGAAGTGGTGGGAACCATTGGTAACGACCCTTGTCATCTAAACTAGGCTAACTCCTGTAATTCCAACACTACGGATTCCAGGACAGGAGAATTACCTCAGTCAGATTCGAGGCCAGCTTGGGCTGCAGAGAAAATCTCTCAAAATTCCACAAATTTCCTTGATGGGCCTACTGGTAGGAAGATCTCTGGGGAAGCCTATGAAGAAGGTGCAGGTCAGAACATTTTGGGAGGTTGGGCAGTGCTCTGGGTGGAAGTAGTTTCCTCTTTCACGGGGTACCTGTTTTATCGGCTACACAGGCTTGGAAGGAGAACTCCAGTCTTCTCCAGGTCTTTGGAGAGGAACAAGGGGATATTCCCATGGGGACCACAGCAGGAGGACTCCCATTTTATCTGTAACTTTAGCCCTTTTGGAATACAACTGTTTTAATACGACTTTTAACAAAATCTCTAGCTCCCAGGGCAGGAACAAACATCTCCAGTGTTATTTCTCCAATACCTACCGGTGCTGGGTACTGCTTTGTTTAGTATATGTTTGGTGAGTGAGTAATGATCTCACGTTTCTAAGTTCCTTTGAATCTCTGGGTCTATTTTCTAAGATGTTCCACAAAAGAGTCTGGTCTCCAGAGGGGCAGAAACTGACTTCCAGAGTCTTTCTTGTGACCTACCATGTTTTGGGAGCCCAGATTTGAAAGGAAAGGTAGTTACCAGGAATTACAACCTGGGCAAGGTAGGTACTTTTCTTAGTTAGGGTTTCCATTGCTGTGAAGAAACAGTGTGACAAAGGGAACTCTTATAAAGGAAAACATTTAAAAAAAAAAGATTTATTTATTTTTTATGTATACAGTGTTCTGTCTGCATGTGCACCTGCATGTCAGAAGAGGGCACCAGATCTCATCTCAGATGGTTGTGAGCCACCATGTGGGTGCTGGAAATTGAACTCGGGACCTTTGGAAGAGCAGCCAGTGCTCTTAATCTTTGAGCCATCTCTACAGCCCAAAGGGCAACATTTAACTAGGGCTGGCTTACAGTTTTAGATGTTTAGTCCTTTCTTGTTATGGCAGGAAGCATGGCAGCATCCAGGCAGATATGGTTCTGAGGAGCTAAGAGTTCTACATCTTGATCTGAAGGCAGCTAGCAAGAGCCTATCACACTGGGTATAACATGAGCTTAAAAACACATATTTACACACACACGTATGTATATATGTATGTGGGACCTCGAAGCCAGCCTCCACAGTGACTGACACACTTCCTCCAACAAGGCCACACCACCTAATGTTCCATTCCCTATGGGCCGGGGCCAAACCTATTCAAACCACCACAGTACTGATTTAACAACTTAGGAGTATCTAAAAATGAGGACTGCTCTGGTCAAACGGGTCCTGGGCTCTCTCCGCTTCCCCCTTGACCTCCAGAGACATAGTGCTTCTGTTTATGGGGTCCTTGAAATAGATCCCCAACATGTTTTGTGACTGTGCCTTGCTCTAGCCTCAGTTCAGCCTTTTCATTGCCGAATCCTTCCTAAGCACCTGCGGGGCGCTCTGCAGCTCATGTAGGATGGGCTGTAGGCACAGCCCTGGGAGTCACCACCAGGAATGCTTCTCCGTCCAACAACCTCACCAGGCTCTGACAGAGTGTCTCTATGGAAATGTTGCCTCTAAGTGTGGACACTCTAAAGAGGGACAGTATCACCCAGGGGGTCTTGGGCTATTGGGCAGGTACAGCCAGCCTCTCTTTGTGTCTGTGTTACAGGGATTGTTTCAAGGCATTCTATGTCCACAAGTTCAGAGCCATGCTTGGGAAGAACCGACTCATTTTTCCTGGTGAGAAGGTACATGCAGGGCCCAGGTGCTTGGCTGTCAGCCCATGCTGCCTTCCCATCTGTACACTTTTTCAGCTGGCCTACTGTCTCTGGGCTTTGAGGGTAGACTTGTTATCTGGGGCTGTCCAAGAAATGGAGCAGACACACTCATGTTGAAGATGCATGCCTTTGCTGATGTTCTTTCCCCACCCCTAGGTGCTCTTGGCGTGGTCTGGGGGCCCTTCGTCCAGCTCCATGGTCTGGCAAGTTCTTGAGGTACATCTACACCATTCTCTGAGCCTAAGTTTCTAGGTTGAATTAGCAGGGACATCCTTCCTCATCCTATACTACAAAGTCTTTGGTTGACACCAGACAGCACCCAACCCCAGCTGGGACACCTATAGGACCTCCCACATATATTCAGCAGGTGTGCAATCCAGAAACCCTATGCAGGGTCCCCAGGTACATTCCTGTTTAGCTTTATTTGTTAGTATTAAATAAAGAATCAAAGTTTGGCCGCTTGTGACTGGTGGGCAGAGAAAAATATTTGCCAAAAACAAAAGAAGTAGCCTATATGAAAGGGACAGAGGCAGATAGAGTGAGGACTCAAAGAATGCCTGACACTGCTGAGGGTGTGCAGGGTTTCCTTGAAGGGCCCTGGGACAGAAGAGGGACCTACATACTCTTTCACTGTGGAGCACCAACTAGAGGGGCCAGCAAAAAGGCTGTAGTTGGTAGGGCAGGTGTCAGTGGTCTGAACTGAACCTGGTCGGTGGCAGTGCTGCTCCACTGAGAATAGCCTGTGGGGTACTTTTTGCTGGCCCCCTAGACCTGCACATGAGGAGGCGAGAGAGCTCTCCATGAAGCCGTTTGTCTGATACTGCTTCTCTTGGCACTCTGCCTGTGCCTTCCATAGGTTGCCACTTTTGTTCTTAGATACCAAAACACTTTCTGAGGGTTCTGTGGTGCCCAGAACATGGTAGAGTCCCCACTGCCCTGTCTAGCTGATGTCTCAGGCTGCACAGGAGTCAGAGACAGGCTGAAGAGAGTAGCTATGAAGCTTCTGATACAAACAGGGCATACATACAGGAGGTACCCATGTACCCTCCTGTGGGGAAGGAAGAACCATCTGCAGGAAGGAGGCCTAGATCTACCCTTTCTCCTTGGAAGGGAAGACCCAGGCAATTCTGTCCACTGCGTGGAGAGTCAGAGTCCAGAGAAGTGCTTTTGCCTAGGTCTGAGTCCTGCCACTTGCCTTCTAGGGCCTGAGTCAGGATTCTGCAAAACGGCTCCGCTTCGTGCCAGGAGTCATCTATGTTGACGGTAGGTCTGGTCACTGTGTTCAGTCCCCAGCAATGGTGAACCCCACAGGTTCTCCAGGGGACAGACTGAGGGCAGAGGGACCTTCCCAATTATATTGAAGGGCCCAGGGTTGAAGATGGTGAGATTCTAGCTGGTCTTTGAGGATGAAAGACTAGGCAGTTTCTTTCACTATGAGGAGAGCTTGTCTGAAAATAACCCCCCAAAAAAGACCAGGCCTGCCCTTACAGAATCTCTCTAAAGAATGGACCTGGTAGGACTTTTGTGTGTGGCACTGATCCACTCAGCCTGTCCCATCAGTGTCTTCTCTGTGAATCCTCCATGCTTCTCACCTGGGTTTTATAGAAGGAGCAGCCTGTGGCCAGAGCCCAGAAGACAGAGTAAAGACCTTGGCTGAGGTGAAGCTGATCCTGCAGAAAACTGGCTTTCCATGGCATGTGGTTGCCTTGGAGGAGGTAGGTGGGCCTCCCCTAGTCAGGGACCCTGTGGTAACCTTGGAGGGATATTCTTCAGGGCTACACGCTTGCTTATTGGAGCCATCCTGTGGGCCTCTTGCCCCAGGCCTTGGTTTTCCAACTGATTTTGGAGGGTGGGTATGGGCCTTGGACTCAACATCATTTCTTCCATCCTGGAAGGTGTTCAGCTTGCCACCATCGGTGCTGTGCTGTGCTTCCCAGGAGCCAGCAGGGACAGAGGAGGCCTACAAGGTGGCCGTGGACAGCTTCCTGCAACAGCAGCATATGCTAGGGGTTGAGGGCTGTGTGAGCCCAGCTGAGGGAGAGGAGCAGATGCACCTATCCCACAGCCAGGAATCTCTGGGCACAACTGGGTCCCCCATAGCCGCTCAGACTGAGGCCTTGTCTAGGTTGTTTAACTCCATAAAGACACTGACAGCCAAAGAAGAGCTTCTGCAGACCCTGAGGTGAGTGCCTTCCCCCTAGCCCTGCCTGGTTTGTGGGACTCCAGCTCTAGCTTCTGTGATTCACCCCATCACAGGACCCATCTTATCGTGCATGTAGCCCGGACCCATGGCTACTGCAAGGTGATGACTGGGGAGAGCTGCACCCGCTTGGCCATCAAGCTTATGACCAACTTGGCCCTGGGGAGAGGAGCCTTCCTTGCTTGGGACACGGTATGCAGGGTCTCAAGGCCAAGGTGTCCCTTGACTCTTTGGCCTCCTTCATTTGAAAGTACCTTTGGGTTACCTTGAGGTCTTCCAAGTGGAGTGGCCTGGGACCCAACTGTAGATGGTGGTGGTTATGGGAAGATTTGAGCCACACAGTGTCTGCTCCCCAGGGCTTCTCAGATGAGCGACATGGGGATGTGGTGTTGGTGAGGCCCATGCGGGACCACACGCTGAAGGAAGTGGCCTTCTACAACCACCTGTTTGGTGTGCCCTCAGTCTTCACACCAGCCATTGATACCAAGGTGGGCCTGTGGAGAACTGCATGGGCTGGTTGGGGGCAGCCTCTCCACACAGGATCAGAAGTCCCTGGTGCATCATGGGGGACTTGAATCCTTGCCAGGCAGCTTCTGCCCTTCCTCCTCTAGTGCTGGCCTTTGCTCCCACCTGGTTCCCTGTGACCTTAGCACCTGCCATCCTGCTTCTGAAAAGGCCAGTAGTAGTGTCCATGTATCTTGAAGGGCCGGCTGGTATCCCCAAGGAGGTGGCTTGGAGGGGAGCGTTAGTCTGTCCCTAAGGTGAAGGGGTGGCAAGATGAGCTGTCATCCAGTTTGAGTCCTATGCTGGTCTCAGTCCCAGCAAGGCCAGGCCTCAGACTGGCCATGTGAAGCCAGTGGTACTTGCTTTAGGTGCCCTTTGGTCCTTCTGAGATGTCCCATCTGATTGACCCTAGGCTCCGGAAAAGGCTAGCATCCACCGGCTGATGGAGGCCTTCATCCTGAGGTTGCAGACTCTGTTCCCCTCTACAGTCAGCACTGTGTACAGGTATGTGTGCTACTGAGCCTGCTGCCCATGCTTGAGGGGAGCAGAGCCATGGCCGGGGGCATACTTGTCACTTATGCCTGTTTGCCTATGTACCTGCCCATAGGACAAGTGAGAAGCTGGTCAAGGCTCCCAGGGAAGGCTGTGCCACCGGCCCCTCAGGCCCCAACTGCCTCCTCTGCATGTGTGCCCTGGACATCGACACTGCTGGTGCGTGCAGGGCCTTCCTGGAGTGCTGTGTGGGTTTTATTTGGCTGTCCCAGGGTCCCTCAGCCCCTCTCTGTTGCAGACAGTGCCACGGCCTTTGGGGCTCAGTCCTCCTCACATCTCTCCCAGATGCTGCCTGCTGAGGCTGGGACACCTACCCCGCTCTGCTGCAGTGCAGGGGAGGGTCCGGCCCAGAGCTGCCACAGGGCAGTTGGCAGGAGGTGAGACCCTGCCTGTGCTGGGTGGAGGGGGTAGGAAGACTGGCCTTAAACAGAGTTCAGACTGAGACCAGGTACACAAGTCCAGTTGTGTTTCTTCAGGGGGGACGCACAGGCCTGCATCACAGAGCAGCTGTGTTATGGCTGCCGGGTGAACATGAAGGACCTGGTGAGTGGCTCTCCATCTGTCCCTCTGAGCTGTCCCCGTGGCCCCATGGCTTCTCACACTACCATCTCTTGTAGCCCTCCGTGGATCCATTGCCACCCTATGTCTTGGCCGAGGCTCAGCTCCGCAGCCAGAGGTAATGCCTGCTGTTTGGGGAGACCTCTGGGAACTCCCCCTCCCCCTGCCCCCAGGGCTGGTTCTCACTGCAGTCTCCTTTAGGGCCTGGGTCTCTCAGGAAATCCAGGAGTATCTAATTACAGACAGTGATGAGGAAGAGGAGGAAGGCAGAGTGGAGCCTGGGCATGCCCAATCATGCAAAGCCGTGAAGCAGGAAGGTGAAGACACAGGGATCGGTCTGTGACTGTCCATTTGTATAAATAAAAATGTTTTTACTTAGAAAACTCTACAGTACTTGTGGGAAGGGAGAGCCAGGCCCCCAGACCCAGTGTGGCTAGCCCTGGGCTACACTGGGCCCCCAGCCCAACAGGCGGGGACGCAACAGGTAGGGACACAGCGTCCCTTTAACAGCAGCATCATCAGGGCTTTTGTGGGCCAGGGGGACGTGTCACAGCTCGTGGCCTCAGGCAGCTACACTCCAGTCCAAGGAGCTCTGCCAGCCCTGGTGGCCATGCTGCCCTGGGGCAGCTCCTTCATTCCCGGTGCCCAGGAGCTGGGCTGCTACTCCCTCTCACGCGTCCACTTGATCATGGTCTCTGGGGAGCGGTACAGGAAGATGAGCTTGGCGTACAGCTCCTCCTCCAGCTCCAGCTCCCGGGTCTCCCGCACCAAGAAGATGTCCTGGCACAGCTTGAGGATGCGGTCCACACACGGCAGCTCCTCGAACATGATGGAGTGCGAGATCTCACTGAAGAAGCCCCGCATAAACTTGCCAATGACCAGCACGATGGACACATAGAGCCCCACAATCCTGTGGGGAGAGGCATGTGAACAGGGACCATAAGAACTGCCCCAGGGGCTCTAGGAGGTTCCTCTGCAGTACTCACCCGTAGCCAGCCAGGAAGCCAAGGCTCGGCGGGCTGACCTTGTCACTGAAGATGACCATGGGCAGCAGGTTGCAGTCAGCCTGGCAGTCCTGCAGCTCAATCACCCACCATTCGAGGAAGTCGGAGGCCTTTGCGCCTGCCTGCTCCCCAGAGGCCCCTGTGCCCACTTGCTCCCTCCGCAGCTGGATGCGCACACCAAGATAGTCGGCCTCCTCATCTGAGTGGGGTAGTTAAGAGTCTTGGGTCACCACCAATCCCTGGCCTGGACTGGGTCCCAGCACCCTGGTCCCACACCCACCTGGCTGCAGCTGCTTCACAGGGTTGGCTTCGGGCCCATTGGGAGCACGGATGTACTTGGGGAAGAGGTGGGGAATGACCCTGTGGGAGCAGTCAGGAAGTCAGAGGCATCTTCGCCCTCCCACCCGCCTGCCCCGAAGTGGCCTCCACTCACACTGACTGGTCAGGCCTGCCCTCGAGCAGTTGGGCCAGCTGCCTCCGTTCTGTGCTGTTGGGGGCCAGCTCCAAGGTGTGCTTCTCATTGGTATACTCCACTGTGCCGCCCTTGGCCAGGTCCCTGGGGGGCAGGCAGTGTTAGGCAGCGTGGGGCGTCCCCAGGCCCCCCGAGCACGGGCCCCACCTTTGGAAATTCCAGGTGAAGCGCAGTGTAATGTCGGCCGTGCCGTTGTACAGCTCCTGCTTCATCTGGGCCCGGCTCGGGGGGCTGATGCGCCACAGTGCCCCGGAGCTGCCCTCGATCTGTGCGGTGACGATGTCCTCCGGACTGTACTGGCTGATGAACTGCATGGCCAGCTGTGGAGCACACCTCAGTCAGGAGCAGCGGGCCACCTAGTCCCTGCCAGCCCACCTCCCACTGAGTGGACACAGCACGGGTCACTTACTGGGTAGGGGTCGAACTGCTGGGATAGCTCCTCATAGTCCTGGGCCGTGAAAGGCACGATGGATGGCTGCTGGGCACTCATGGTGAACAGTGGCTGGGGATGGGACGCATGCTCAGCATGAACCCCCACAGTCCGGAACAAGTGGGGGTAGCCCAGCCCCTGTGCTGGGGATGGGTGGGCTGCTGGCCGGCTACTCACCTCGTAGCCACCTAACTTGAGGGTGACAGTGACATCGATGGGCTGGTTGACAACACCGACCACAGAGCGTATCAGTGACATGAAGAGCAGTGGGAACCAGATGATGGCAATGAGGAAGAGGATAATGAGGCCGCCCATCCCATACTTGACGATCTTCTTCTTCTTCTGTCCTTTGGGCTGCGGGTATTTCTGGAAGGGAGACACCGGTCACCCTCCCAGCCCCTTTGGCCACAGGCTCTAAGCCTCAACCTGAGGTCCAGAACAGGCCTGAGGTCCAGAAATAACCCTTAGTAGCTTCAGCTGCTTCGGTGAAGGGGACATGAACTGTGCGCCACACTCACAGAGAGAAGGGAGCCTGCTTTCTACACAGCCACAGGCAGGGAGCTGGGTATGAGTTTGAATTACCCAGAAGAGAGACATCTCTGCAATCTTAGATGTGGCCGGGGACTCTTGAGGGACACCAGAAGTGAGCACAGAAGAGAGAACAGTATTTTAAAAACTAACTGTGTCTCTCAGAAGTGAACACGAGAGGGCACTGCTCTTGTGGAGGACCAGAGCTCCATTTCCAGAACTCAGGTTAGGTGGCTCCCAGCCGCCTGTACCTCCAGCCCCAGGAGATCTGATGCCCTCTTCTGGCGTCCATGGGCACCTGCACTTGCACACATACCCACAAAGACACAATTTAAAGCAAAAGCAATCTTTTAAAGGTCAGCCAGGGCCTACAAAGGAAGCTTGTAAATCGGACAAACGGCCTGAGTGCATCTAGGATGTGATCTGAATACATGTTTCTCTAAAGACAATCAGGCAGCAACACTTGAACTGCCAGACAATGGGACTTCAGTCTGCTGGCGAGAGGGACGCAGCCACTTCAGAAACCGTTCAAAATGACGAGTAGGCTGACACAGTGAAAACAGCATGCACGGAAAGGCGGAAATGTGTTAGGGTTTCCGCACTCCACGGAGTCTGTCACAAGGCTCTAGCAGGAGTGTGGACCAACGCAAAGACCCCTGGGAACACTGCTGAGTGGCGGAAGCTTGGTCCAAAATGGCTGTGTCATCAAACAAGCACACTCACAGACGGGTAGAGAGGGGAGATGGGAAGCAACCTTTGTCAGGGGTGGGGTGGGGGTATGTACTTTGTGAATATACTAAACCATGAAACGGTCCTCATAACAAATAGCTACTATCTGCCTGACCCACCACCCAAACCTAAGGGCCCAGTCCACTGTCCCCTGCTGCCCCCTGGACCCACTGCAGCTGTCCACAAGAATTCTACAAAGCTCCTTTCTCCGGGCTGCTGTGCATGTGGGCTTCGAATGCCCAGGGGTACCCATCCGTCCTCTTTGCCCTGGCAACCTTCTCTGTCTCTCGACTGCACTTGATGATAAAGATGTTGGCGTAGATGTCTTCCACACACATCCAGTTGGACAGGGACAGCGTGGTGTCAGTCCACACCCAGTCCATGACTGCCCGCAGCTCCACCAGGAAGGGCACTAGACGGAACCTGTCAAGGCCAGGGTGCCGTCAGCAGGGACAGCCTGCAATGGCTTCTACCTGCTCTTCATGATCCCTAGGCAGACCACACTCACCCCTGGAAAAGGAAGAGGTTTAGATGATTGTACTTCTTGGTCAGGAAGTTGCCCAGGATACGTGTGGGGTATCCACAGCGGATCTGGTAGGCGGACAGGGCAAAGTAGATGCACTTCACGAAGTACCACAGCTGGGCCACCGCATTCTGGCTGAACATCCTGAGGGGACAGGACATCAGGAAAGGTGAACCTGACAGAATCAGTTCTGGGGTCAACCCAAGCTGTGCCACACCCAGAGAGTATAGTACATCAGGGAGACTGAGGCCCCAAGGTTCAGTGGCTCACACCACCTACCTCTCAGTGACAGCTGGTAAGATGAAGAACATCCAAAGGTGAATGGCCACCACCAGGACCACCTGAAAGGCCAGCTTGCCCAGTACAGTCTTGCGCAGGTAGAGGGCACGGTCGATGACCATGGTGCTGAACTGGACCAGAAGCATGAACAGGAAGGCCTCCGGCACCTGGTCATCTGACAGTGAGGACGCAATGTCCGTGGCTGCAGAGTGCTTCTGTAGCAGAGGGTGAAGGTCGGGGAGACGGAGCCGCAGTGAGCCTGAGAGTTCTAAGCCCATGCACTCCAAAGGCTAGAAGCCAGTCATCTACTTTGGGGTCCCAGGTCGACTTACCCCAAAAGCCCAAAAACCAAAGATAATGATGATGAAATCAACAATGTCGGCCAGGAACATGAGAGCATAGACGTCAGTGGCTGCTCGGTACTTGGTGTGTAGAATGTCATGGAAGAAGCGCCGTAGGGGCTGATAGATGCTCCGGGCCCTGGGCATGGACAGCCTCAGAGAGCGTCCGGCTGGGGACTGCTGCCCGCCCCCGTGCCCCCACCATTCCCAGCCAGGCCACTCACAGCGACAGGCAGAAGCTCTGCAGCCAGCGCCCAGCTGCCTTCATTCTCTCCTGAACCTTCAGTCTTTCTCGAGTCTGAGCTGGGCTCTTTCTCCCTGCAGCTTCTTTTTCTTCCTCCCCCTCCTCCTGCTCAGCCTCTGTGAGTGTGTATACCCAGGGAAGTGCCAGTGAGCCCACTCCAACAGGCTAATGTCACCCCACTCTATGGACAGCGCAAGAACCTCCCCATGGTCACCAGTGAGGGACAACTGCTCCTGGGTCCTTTCTTGGCTTGGCCCTGAGACTTCAGCCCAGGCCCACAGACATCTCATCCTGGGTGTAGGGAGAGCCCCATGAGCAGTTGTGTGCTTCCCAGTGGGTTGTCCCCCGTGCTGGGCTGGCCATCTCCAACTGAGGGGTCATCTGTGTCTCCTACCCTCCCGGGGCTCTCACCCACGGCTGCAGCTCCTTTGGGTCCTGGGGTCTCCTTCCTCCTCCTGAAGCGTATGCTGATGTGCTTCGTGTGCTGGGGCTTAAGGTCCTCTTGGGGCTCTTGGACCCCATCCTTGGCTCTAACCCTCCCTTTCCCTTGGATGCGGTCCCTGGGGAGGTCAGCCAACACCAGTTCTTCGGGATGCCCAGTGCCTGTCTCAGGCTGCGGTTCCAGCATGGCTTCTGACTCTTCCTTGGCCTCCTGGTCCTTCTCACTATCCCTGCAATGGTCCTTGGAGAATCGATCCTCCTCATGGTCCCAGAGGCCATAGCACTATGGGAAATAATGGAGAAGTCAAGAGGCCCACCCAGGCCATGCTTAGACCAGACCCATGCTGGGCCTTGGGCTTGCCACTGGGCTTAAGAATGCCTGGAAG